TGGATAAAAAAATGATTCGAGATTCTGGGGTTCCGCTGTAAACCATCAATGGTATGCTATTCCTATCCATTGGAATAGAGAATAGTATACGACATCCTTGTACCTGTCTTAACATACGTGAGCGAGGCTATAGGAACCCGGCACACTTATCCAATTTACGGCCATTATGATTTATTGATGGTCTGCCCGACCTAGACCGAGCACCCATTATTAAAGCCAGACCACCTTTACTTCATTGTTTGAACCGCACCAAGGAAATAACGCATTTAATATCAATTTACAAAACAAAAGACAAATAAAAGTTTCCTTCCTTATTCAAAACGATCTTAAATCAATTTAAGGCCCTGTGCACACAAGATATGTGTGTATTACTTCGAAAACCTGCGACGCAATACAATTTAATAAACGTTCAGACTGCGTCGCCAACATTTCTGACATCGCCAAAGTAACCCGCTCACAACCTGTTCGTCAAGATCATTTGAAGAAAGTTGCTGCAATTCTCCAAAATGGCGGAGCAATTCTATATAGTTGACAAGTAGTCGCTATCCTGTACTGACCGAGTATACGATTCGCGTCGGCGACTAAAATTAGAGTGTACGGAGCGCGCGCAATATGATTGTCTTGACGCAAAATTCAATATTAGTTTTGATTTACGTTACGTTGTTGTACGAAGGGCCTAAATCAACATAAAAGTTGGTCGTTACAGTTGGCCTAAATCTAAACGAGTTTCGCAATTTTTAAGGTGGATACATTTGTATTATTTTAAATTAGGATCATTGACCACAATCATTTTTAATCAATTTAAGATTATTTATTACTTCATTCGTTCCAACAAATAATCCCTTTAAATGAGTAGAAAGTCAACAATTTATAGAATTCGGAGAACTTTTACCTTATCTAATATGATAAGATTAAAGCTATCGAAACAATGTATAGCGTGCATACTCGCGTGCTGACTGAACAAATAGTGGAAACGTACCTTAAGACTTTAACAGATGTCTCATAACCTATTGTCATAAAATACACGTGTCTAAGAACATATATTATGAACGTAAAAGTCATAGTATTCCGTAGAAAACGAAATCATAGATACTAGTATTATATCTAGATATAGTCTTGAAATCATCGTCCATCAGCTCACCATACGTCCCCATTGAGGGGATCGGAGCCTACCCTAAGTCAGGGGTGACCATGCAATAGCCGCCCACGCTAGTTCGTGTTAGTTCACACCTATCTTTGAATTTCTTCGTAGATATGTGCAGCATCACGATATTTCCCTTCACCGTAGGAACATAGGATAAATGTACATATGTAAATCGCAAATCGAAAAACACATTGTTACATTGCGGGTTTCAAACCCGGGACCTGCAGATTACAAATCAAGTGGTCAACCCCTAAGTCATCAATGGTCTTGAAATATACATGAAATGTCGTAAATCAGTTCTGATTGAGTACTCATTATGTTTGTATATGTTGACATACATAGAAACAATGTCGCAATTACCAAATAGCGACATCACTTTTAAACAATGTTCCAGTTGTATGTGGGTATTTGACGACTTTCTAATTTTATTACACAATCGATTTCGTTAGAGCCCTTTGCATGAATAATTTAAAATCGATTTCAAATCGATGTTAACATCAAAACAACAACAAAAACACTTAATTTTTGAACCAAGTACTAAGAAATATAGACATTTCCAATAAGAAAGTTAAAGAGTTAGTGCTTAACTCGTTGCATTACGGAAATATACATAAATCCGTTATCCGCACTGTTCACAAGACATTGGACAAATAACTAATGATTCAATATCATAAAATTATTAATATAATTTATTATCGTGACAATTTAATTGAATTAACTAAGTATTTTATTGCCACAGATCGGACCAAGATAACCGTTGATCTGCGCATGCGTGACGAGTTAGAACATATAATAGGCTTGTCTGTCTGTTCGTATTATAAAGCCGGTGAAGCTTCTATTAACATATAACGTATTGTTTTTAAATATAATAGGTTAATCTAATGCCGTTTCTATGATATTCACATTGTAACGCAATTCCATTGCTGCGCCATTTGTATTCGAAAACTATTGCTGTCTTTGTTCATTTCAAAGATAATGAAAGTGATGGCAATATCATCGTAATACAAATGTAACTTACTGTAGGGATTCATCGTTAAAGGTTATAATTTTTTCGTTGAATTACTAATGTTTTGTGCCAGTAGTGCTACGATAATAAATCATCTACAATATGACTGTTTAATCTGGAAAAAAATAAATACTGGCCAGTTATAAAGCTTTTAAAAACCCTTTACTAAGCGAAAAGAAATAAAACAAATATAATTAATAGGCAGCAATAATACACACAATTGAAGTACAACATTTACACATATTAGCAAAAAATCACGTGAAAATATAAATTTTAAATGAAACAACACAAACGTGCTTTTGCATAAATAAGTCACATGCACAAATTAAAATTTTATTACGACTTAAAAATAAGGAAAACATTTATATATCACAATAGCTTATTATATCCAGCCCCCATTGTAAAGTCACGAAAAAAAAATACCGAAAACCAAATTTGTTTTCTCATTCTCCCAAAAAAAAAATAGTTTGTTTTTTTCGAATTTTTCCACCGTGGAAACCAACGTTTAAAAAGATTAATGCTTAATTCATAGTTAGACAGTAATAAAACTAAGCAGCCATAAAACTGCAATCAGAGTAGTAACAATCCGGCCCTGGCCTTATAGATTATCTCTTAAGCTAGCACACAAAGGCAAAAGCGAACCGGAACTGTAAAGAGGCGTAATATAAGACCCATCCGATGAAAAGAGTTACATCTTATAATATCGTATAGAATATGTAGCTTTTTTCGTGATACATAAAGTTTATTCTACGTTAAAAATGGTTTGGTGTAAATCTCGCTGCCAAATTCCACCAGTGTCTAGACTTCACCTCTCGCTCTATCCTTGGCCAGTCCAACGCATTCAAGAATTTATATAAGCAGATAATAATCAATTGATAATTCCAATCTTAGTGCAAATGTATAGACTCGATATTATGAAACAAAACATGTCCAGGAATATTTATGTTTATGTTAAATAATTTATATTCGTTATACGACTTGTTTGTATTATGATTTACATAACATCGGTTAAAACAAATAATATCAAATAAAACGACAATTTATACAAAGCTGAGTCAGGAAGTACAAGGCTATCATAACATTAAGACAGGTAACATTCAGACCGATGTTATTTGTATATAATTTCAAATAAAACAGTGTTTATAATTGTGAAATGGTGGAGACCAGTTTGAACCGGTGTAATAACCAGATTTAACTGGTTTGTACCGATGCGGTACAAAAATTCATTGCTCTCACTCTCTTTTAAAAAGACAGTAATAGTATAATAACAGAGTATAAATGTTGCAGTGAAAAACCTACGTCTCTTATCAAAACTCTACGTCTATGTAAAAAACTATTGCAATATTATTTAAAAATCACGTATATCAAACAGACTAATCGTTTCTTGTGATGCATGATCCAATAAAGAGGCTTGCTTCTCCTTAACTTGCGCCTACATACATTACACCCGATTTATTACGCGCAAAAGCTATAAGCAACCAATATGGACCGAAATTTCATATGAAACTAACGCACAGTAACAGCGTTAGGTTAGTGCCTGGTAGAGCGACCGACCAGGACGCCGGGTATAAGGGGGCGCCGCAGGCGACAGTGTCTAATACAAAAAGGCGCCTGTGGTGCTCCCTTAGTTTCCCTGTCTTTAAATGATTTCTCCCGATACTAAAAAGGAAAAATGTGGCGCCGCAAAAATCTTGCCCAAGGCGCCTAAATGCTAAAACCGGCCCTGTTTTTACAGAGTTTTGTTCCGTCGACCCATTATAAGACAGCGTTACAACCTACGCCAAACAGAATTTAATAAGCAGTGCGTTGTGAAATGGTCTGTACTCGACGCCATTTCCAAACCGCTACGACTTAGGGTCCTTTAAGATGCGAGCTTATCACCTTCTCAAAGGCCGGCAATGCATCAGCAGTTCCTCTAATTTGGCAGATGGCCATGGGCGTCGATGATCCTCGTTGTTCCCGCTGCTTGTTTGTCCACTTCTCTTATAAAAAAAGGCGGACATAGCATTCCGTTTTATTAACCGTTTTAACGTTTCTTTTTCGCGACTGCGTCTATTACATCCGTTTGACTTATGCAAATGAACCAAGTCTATTCAACGTGTTTTTATGACTAATAAAAGACTGGTTTAGTGTCCAATTTTTTTTTAAATAAAATTACATGGAAGCAAATGTAAGAAACTTTTGTTCAAAAAGAGTCCATTTTTAATGGCACAAGTATACAACTAACATTGTTGTTCTTGGGTTTAAATAAAAAACAAACATAGAATAATTTCACTGTCCATTTTTTGTATATACAGAAGTCTGTAGAATATCAAACGGAGGACCACTTTCTTAGATTCAGCAAAATAATTTAGATTGAAACAATTATTTACTTATTTATGAATTCCATTTATTATATCTTTTATTTTATATATTATCTAGTAGTTTTTGTAAAATCTAGTAATATAAACTCTGATCATTTGTACACCCTATGTATACCTTATTTACTTCAATGGCACAATACTTTTGAAAAGAAGTTAACAAAGCTATATTATACTTATTACATATATTTGTGGTAATGGACTTAAATTTAAACACTTAAATGATGATAAATGCGGTGTGTAGAAAAATAAAGTTAAGAGATAGAATGCAAGTAGTTTACTTTTCTCATCAAAATAATAATATAAATAAAAATAAATATAACATCCAATTGCAATATTTGACTAAGCATATCATTAATATTAGCTAGTAATTTAAATTGTAACTAGTAACAATCTAAACTCTCTACCTGGTCTTATCCCAGATAGTGGTGCAATCTGGTGAACTGCTATTAAAGCAAACAAAAAATATAAATAAGCTACATAGCCATACCTTAAATCTTGTAGCAGATGGATGGTCTCTAAATCTTGATGGCTTTTCCATGTCTCGGAAACTACTCTTGGTAACAGGAGACTTAGGGTGCAGCGTGTCCACAACATCGCTCTGCGGGTTAGGCAACAATTTTTCTTTCTCGCTACTCTCCTTCTTAAAATGAAGACCTGCTTCAATATCTTCGGTCTTTGAACTTTCAGCGGGGTACTGTATGTTCCCGTTGGTCGCTGCCATTGATTTAGCAGAGCTAATCTTACGAAATCTACCAATAATCACATCCTCTTCGTCGTTAACCGGCGCATTGTAATTTTGTACCACTACGTGAGGTTTGTTCTCCTGTTTGTTGTCGTCAGACTTCACTGGACTTAGTTCTATATCTTTTTGTGATGATGCCATGTTGGAAAATATTTTTTTAACACTCCTTTTATTCAGAAAAATTTAGAAATACATATTTTGTAAAAGCGTGACAAACAATGCGACCGGCTAAAATTTGTTTCGTATTATAATAATCACAAACGATTTGTTTCATTAATATAGCGGAAAATAAAATAAATTACATATCACACATTAACAATAATTTTTACAGAAGTTTTCAGTCAAAAAATGAGCGAAATTTGACAATTTCAAACAACGCGGAATCACCACATCGTGGAACAGATGAACGGAAACACGCGCACACCTGCTCCGCACGTCAATTTGAATGACAATGAAACAGATGCTATGAATGAATGAGGCTAAATATGAATGAAAATTACAAACTGAACTTTTTATAGAAGCGAATGGAAGCGAAGAAGCGAATTGTAAGCGAATGACATAGAGTAAATTTAGCAAGTTTTACATACCAAATGCCAACATGCCAATCCTAAAAATAAAACGTTGTTTGGATAACTTAAAAGAAACTTGTCCCTGTCACCTTTTAGGGTTCAAAGGAAAACTTCAAAAGAAAACTTATTTTTTTCGCAACAACCAATCTTAATAAAAATATGTTTTTGTGTTGTTTCCCGTTTTGATTCATATTGTTTGACATTTATAGTATGAACTTGGCAACCCTATACCTATATGCTCTTTGAAACTTATATATATACAGAGTATAAGAGTATATAAAAACATATGTAGATAATAAATATAACAACGAGGAAAAACAGGAAGGATAGGCACTGTTGTATTTATTACTTTTCAGTTTAAATTACCGATAATTTCCAATCACACTGTGGTCGTACTTTTAAGTTAACAACTGTAAAATAACTTGCTATGGGATTTGATGAAGGAAGTATAATTTTAAATAGTGAAAATGAAACTTATTTTGCGGGACAAACTATTTTTGGCAAATTGGTGTTCGAGCAAGACAAGGTCAAAACGTTTAGGGGTAATTCTTTTTTTTAATTTTAAAAATGTTTTTCGTTTCAAACATGAAAATAGAAATGACTTAAAACAAACTATGTAATGGAATGAATTAAAAAAAAGTTTTTTTTTAGTAGTCTTTTTTTAAATAATTTTTAAAGTTCATATTAGCCACACTGTAACTTATAAATTTATTACAAAATGTTATTGAAAAGAAGTTATTAAATATTACGTTTTCTTAATTAATAAAATTTCAGGTATATATGTTAAAATGAAGGGATATTGCAAAGTTCACTGGACCACATCTCACACGGAAGAGATTAACAATCGTCGGCATACTCGGACAGACAATCATGATTCTTATGAAGAATATTTTAGCAGGAAAATGTTTCTACTTGGAGGAGAAAGTGGTAAGTGTACAACCAGATACTGGAATACATTGTTTTTTTAGTAAACTTTGATTATTTAGCTTATAATGTGCAAGAAAGTGAGATAAGTGCAACTTCATAAAAATAGTTAATGCTTGTTCTTCCAGGTGAATATCACTTGCAGCCTGGTAAACATGAGCTTCCATTTGACTGCCCCATCCCTGCTAACTGCCCATCATCCTTTGAGGGTGAATATGGTCATGTGCGCTATGAGATCAAAATAGTAGTTGATCGAGCATTCAAATTGGATCAAGAGAAGAAAAGGCAAATAAGGGTGATTGCACCATTGGATCTGAATTTTGATCCATACTGTAAGGTTAGTAAATATATATTTATAATGCAATCTAAGAACAAAGTAACCCTAGAACTAAATTATAGTGACAATAATATTAATAAATTTTAACAGTGGTAGAGTCAGCAAACAATAAAAAAAGAGTTTAATTCCCTTTCATTAGCTTTTAATGGACAGAGACTACAATATGTATTAATGCAAGTATCACAACAGTCAAATCCATAGTAATAAAGAGTTATATTTATAAATAGAGTTTCAACATCTGTTTTTGTTATCAATGTAAACATAACATGTTATACACTATTTACTATCAGTATGACTAATTTTTTATATTATCAAACAACAGCTCTTTCCATTTCATGTATTTGTTAAAAATAAGAAAAAAGGTTTCTGTCTAACCCAACACTCATATAGAAGTTTCTGGGTTACGCAGGTTCAATTGTATCTTACTTAATATAATAAATGCAAATGGATGGATATTTGTTAGTATCAAGAACAGCTGCATGGATCTCTCTGAAATTTGGCATAGATGTAGAAGTGATTTTTAACTCTGCACGGACAGAGTCACAGGCTACAGCTAGTTTATTAATCCATCTGTCTGCAGTGGAAGTAAAGCTGTGTATACTAATAACTTACAGGAGCCCATGCAGTTTGATATAGAGGATACATATTGCTGTTGCTGCATGAGCAGTGGATCAAGTGCTACGGTGGTCAAGTTACCAGCATCTGGCTACTGTCCCGGACAGACCATACCTATTGAGTTGAGTTGCTCCAATCAGGGTGGAGTAGAAATAGAAAGGATACTACTGGCCATACAAAAGGTGAACTTTTTAATCATAAACCAGTTTAGATGTACACTAGTATTAACCGGTTAATACCAGTTTTTTTTGGCATCACTTAGTAGTGTTACTAGTTATATGTTTGATTCATACTGTTTTTTCTATTTTAGTGTTTAAATTATATCAGTACCTCAAGAGAAATACCTTTTTGGAAATTGCAAAACATAAGTTTTTTATTTTTCAACTATTGTTAACCATTACTTAATGATTACTTAGTGAGTCTTAACTGTTACTAAGTAAAAAAATAATATCAGTGAGAATTATTGAACGGAATATGCAATGTGAAAATCTTATAAGAATTTCTGTGAATTTTTTTTAAAAATATATTCCATAATCAGCTTTTATAAATTCCATCTCCGCATTTATTTAAATCTGTAACATTTTGATTTGATTTATAGAGAGTCACATACCATGCAGTGAATATTCCGGGTACAAAGCACGAGGAATCCATGGTGTTGGAAATGAAGAAAGGCCCAGTTCCCGGAGAGAGCACACGCAGCTGGATGGTTGATATGGAGGTGCCTGCTATAGATGTCTACAACATGGGACCTTGCAGATTTATTGATATTGAATATGATTTTATGGTATGTTTTATGGATACATTTTTTTATTAAAATTAATTGAGTACTATATGCCACTAATGCTATCTCTGTTTTCTTCAAAGATAATGAGAGGGATAGTTTTACATGGTTTTATTATTTTCTTGTCTGCCTGTTTATTTTGCTTATATACATTTCAGTTTAATCTTATGTTTGATATATATCACTTAAAACATGACCAAATAATGCTGTTTTATGATCAGATGTTTATTTTATTTTTTAATGAAAAATCCTAAGAACTGTACAAAATCTTGGTAATGTTACTAAAAAGGTTCCATATATTTTTATTCCAGTATATTAATTATAATTGAATTGTTGTTTTTTTTAATTTATATATCCTTGATACATAGGTAACGGTGATCCCGGGCGGTTGTCACAGTAAAAGTGAAGACAGGAGGTCGATTAGAATCGGCACTGTGCCCCTCATGGGGTACCAGGACAACATCCCCAACCCTCTACAGGACCAGATGCCACAAGTCATGCCAATCATGAACCAACCACCACCTACTGTCCGACCATTTACAAACGCCTATCCAAATCAAAACACACCTTATCCCAATCAAAATTCACCATATACCAGTCCAAACCCACCATACCCATCACCCAATCCAGTTCCATACCCAAGTAACACACCACAATCAAACCAACCATACCCTGGTATAAACCAACCTTATCCGACTGCTCAAAACCCACCCTATCCAGTTGTTTCTCCAACTCAAACCACACTGAATCCGGGCAGTTATCCACAACCGTCTCCCAGAGTATCACCATATCCGGATAGAGCAAACAGCCCAATGCTGAAGACTGGTACATTTGGATTTGTACCAAATGTTCCTGTACCGTCTCTACCTCCCGGAATAAATGTGCCATATCCTTTAACCGTAAGTATATTTTAAAACAAGAACTAACAATTTATTTTTATTTACAATTTTTTTTAGTATTTACTTTATCTTTTATTTGCTGGATTATTTTTTATGATTAATAGTTTTTTTTATATTTTAATACATATAATAATATTGAATTTTTATTTTCAGCCTCCAAGCAACCCGTATGCAACAGCCACTGCACCAGAACCGGCAACACCAGATGACGATCGTATGTATACAAATTAATTAAATAAACATTTTTTTTAATATTGCCAGTACGATTTTAACTCATTTTTTTAAAATATATTTTTTAATTTCAGAAAAGTCACCTTTAGTCCCAAAAGAGCCAACAGTGATGCCCTACCCACCATACAATCCTGAATACATGGACAAAATGGAACAAAACAAATAATTAATATTCAATACTTAACACATTCAATGCCACTGATTTATGTGGACAAGTCACTGTGTAGTAAAAAAAATGAAGTACCATGGAATGTGTTGAAAAACTTTTTTTAAATAATTCTATTATACAATAAGAAAAGTAAGTACAATAACGACGGTTTACTACTAAATAACTTTTAAAAGACTTAAAATAAATATACATATATTTTTTATAAATTTATTACTTACTAGTTGTCACCCGCGACTACGTCCGCGCAGGATTAAAAGATAGCAGCCGATTCTTAGACCTACTGAATATGCATATAAAATATAAAAATCAGTCAAGCCGCTTTGGAGTATGGTAACTAACATTGTGACACGATAATTTTGTACATATATATAGATTTTAACATAAATGTATTAATCACAATTATTTTAAATAGGTAAATGAAGGCCATGAATCTCCTTTATATATTTACGATATACAATTTATATATACATACTACTTTTGCTTATACTATTCGAATTTTTTTTATTACTATTTTTGCTTATGAGATTATAAGGTTTAAGTTAATATTTTATATTAATTTGGATTTTTATTCCATGTGCTAGAAGCTTTTCGTACGTAGCTTTTTTACATTATTTTATAGTTATATTCAAAATATCGTACAATTTATTTACTTGTCTAGATTTTAAGGTAAAAATTAGCATAAAAGATAAGAATATATACAGTATGTTAAATGATATTGAAAAAGCCACGTAATAAAAAGATTTAGGGTTTATTGATAAAAATATTAATCTAACAATATAAGTATGACTTGTAGTATTGACTTTTTTATATTATTTTTTTCCTTTTTTAAAAACAAAATGCTACCAGTAACTAATATCGCATATTTTTGAAATAAGGTTATATATTATGTGCCATAGTCTTTTAGAACACCATGTATGGAGTTCGAGGTTTGACAGGTTTTCATTTAGTCCTTATACTGTCGAATTATGTTGCCATCTCTCTTTTCTTTCTCCCTCTCCCTTTCTCTTATTATGTTTTTCTATGAGTCTAAGTAAGGATAAGTTTTAAGGATGTATTATGCTGCTATTAATTTTTAAGAATGTTATTATTTTGTTATTTGGTACCTTTTTTCGATCTGCCGGACAGTTTCAATTTTTTTTTTTAACATAGGTGCTACAAATAGCCAATACTCATATTTTTTCGAATGTGCTCGCCGTGCCTTAAAGACAAATTTTCTACTTTTTATGTTTAAGTCTGAGAAATAGCATTTATATAACACAAAAATATCTACAAAATTGTTAATTTTTAAAGTTTGTTAATCTTATAGTTTTAAGAAGAATGTTTGCATAATTTTAAATGTCTAGTGCTGTACTTCTTCTATATAATGTTTATAATTTTATACATTTTCTACAATAAATAATGATTATTATATTGTCTTTTTAATTTTAATTTGGATTTTACTTTTGTGCCTACATCAAACATTCTCAAATAGGATTCTGTGGAATTGACACTTAAAAATCGTCACACAAAAGATCGATTTTACTAAGTCAATAGCCTAATGGTTACGGGTACGGTTTTCCGATCATGAGGTCAGGGAGTTCGAATCCCGCCATTCCACTATTATCGTAAACCATGTCCTAGAACAAGTCTAGGGCTTAGTTAGAATGGTACAAAAAATATTAGCAAATTAACAATAAATTTGCTAATATTAAAGAAAACTAATTATTTATTTAATAATAAAAAACACGCTTTTAAAATTACTTTGGAAAGTTATTATTTTCGCACGTTGCTGCATGTGTCAGTGTCAAATTGACATTGACTGACATAACACGCGTGTTGATTGTTAATTTCCTCAAATATTTTATTGCTTTCTTTGGGTAAATTAATAAAAAGTGAACCAAAATGGGTAAACTAGATGTTGCTATATTACGCTATCTAACAAGTGAGGATTTCCGAGTTTTGACTGCGGTAAGATTTCTGTTGCGCTACTTTACAGATTTAAATATAACCTTCCGAGTCTTGTACTATTGATCTTTGTGTTTGAAGGTGGAAATGGGGATGAAAAACCATGAATTAGTACCCGGGTCACTGGTAGCGTCTATAGCTAATTTACGTCACGGTGGTGTTCACAAGTTGATGAAAGAATTGTGTAAACATAGATTGTTGACGTATGAACGTGGAAAACATTGTAAGTACTGTCAAAGTATTATATTCTTAAAAAGTCTTAAAGATAAATAAAATCCTTTTGAAAACGAATAATATTATAATTTCAGATGATGGTTACCGTTTAACAAATGCAGGTTATGATTATTTGGCACTTAAGGCATTAACAAACAGGAAAGTGATAGCTTCATTCGGTAACCAGATCGGTGTGGGCAAGGAATCTAATATTTACACAGTTGCTGATGAAGACAGGAATCCACTTTGCTTAAAGTTGCACAGGTATATTAATTTATGCTATATTATTGAAGAGGTCTGAAAATAATATATAGGAAAATTGTTTAGCAAACAATAATGACATATTTTCGTATTCATAATGTTGTACACACTATTAACTTGCAGACATTCAAAATAAACTATTCCATCTGTACATTTTACAAAGAAGTTGTTCAACACCTCCAGGTTAGGCCGCACTTGCTTCCGTAACATCAAGGACAAGAGAGATTACCATGCTCATAGAAACCGAGCATCATGGCTCTACCTCTCCAGGATATCTGCAACCAAGGAGTTTGCGTACATGAAGGCTTTGCATGAGAGAGGGTTCCCAGTCCCACGACCTATTGACTTCAACAGGCACTGTGTTGTTATGGATCTGGTGCAAGGTGGACCTTTGTAAGTATATTCACTATTCTATATTTCAAATCAAGGCAAAGACTTTATAAGGTAGTGTCAATAAAAATTAAATTTTAAGTTCATTCTAGTATCCTTATGTTTTCAAAAGAATAACTGTCCAAGTGTTTTTAATTTTTATAACAAATACTATGAAATAAATAAAATCTTATTCAAGACTAGTTAAATTCCTTAATAATAAAATATACTTTGATATATTAATACTTTGTAATTGCAGGACACATGTAACATCAGTACCAGACCCTGGCAGCTTGTATGACGAGCTGATGGACCTGATTGTGCGGCTGGGCAACTGTGGTGTCATACACGGAGACTTCAATGAGTTTAACATCATGCTGGATGAGGAGGGAAAGCCTATTATCATTGACTTCCCACAAATGGTGTCCACCAACCATCCTAATGCTGAATTGTAAGTAACTAACACATAGGTTCCCGAGACCAAAATATCTGTATAAAACATATTGTCATCCCTGTCATTATCTTTGACAAAATAGAGATAACAATATGTTTTAAATTGGACTCAGAAACCTACAGTAAGTGTTTTGTTATATAAGTGTTTTAAATTTTATGGATTAATGGAGATTTCTACTAAAAGTAGTAGGCGAAGATATTTTTAATTCTTGGCTGACAAATCACTGGCCGATAGTTTGTAATAAGAATACATACATACTTAAGATAGAATGAATTTATCTTTTAGATATTTTGATCGAGATGTGAAATGCGTGCGTGAATTCTTCAAGAAGCGCTTCGGGTATGAGACGGACATGTATCCCAGGTTTGAAGACTTGGAGCGGGATGATGAAATGGACACAGAGATTGCCTGCTCCGGGTACAAACGGACCAGAGGGGTTGATGATGAGTTGTTACAGGTATGATGTTATATTGATGGCTCCTATGTATAGACCCAGAATAGTTGCTTAAGCCTTTTTGTTTATTTTGCTGTATTCTATTTTTTTTTTAATATTTTTTTAATATCAAAAGTATTTAAGGCAAATTATCATCATCATCAAAACAGCACAACAGATCTCAATGAAATTTGGTATAGATGTAGAACATAGTCTGGGTAATATAGTGTACCACGATCAGCGTAATCTTAAAAATTAAAGTAATAAAAGACAAAATGAATTTATACATCCGATTTCAAATGAAGAAGACTCATAAACTTATTTTAATATTCCAGGAAATGGGTATCGGTCTCCAAGTCAGTGATGATGAAGACAGTCAGTGTGGTGATGAGGAAACTGATGAAGGCAATACAAAACCGAATTACGAAGAAGATGAGGTGAACGCTCTTAGGAACGAGGTAACGATATTTTTCATCAAACTTTACGTTTAAAATAAAAATGTAAATGTCAATGACCTTTATTGTTATAAAAGTACAAAATTTAACAGTTTTTATTTTAGGATATCTATGAGAATAACAATACTACTCTAATCCAAGAAGTTTCTATATGAAATACTTTACATAGTTATTTTTTTTAAATATTATTTATATGAATTTTTTCCAGGTTGAAAAATCAATTATGAACGACGAAAGAAAACCTACCATAGAAGAAATAACATCAAAAACAATCTCTATATCTTTAGAAAACGAACAGAACGATGAAGAAGTACCAACATTAGTTCCAAGTGAATCTTTACAAGACGATAAATCATCCAAAATTGATACAAATTCACAAAAATACAGATTAGCTATGATAGAGAAAGCTCTATCCGATGTCAGGTCTATGAGAAGTTACACTTCAGCCAGCACTATAGCACCAGATGTAGTCAAACAGCAGGTAAAGAAGAATCTAGAAGATAGACAGAAGAAGATGGAGAGGAAGAAAGCTATCGCTAAGGGAGAAGCGAGCGCTGTCACGAGGCAAAGAAGAGACAACAGGGACACAATCAGAGAAAGTCACGGGTTATGGGGATGGGCAGAATAATTTTTATTTTGAAGATATAAAATATATACTAATGTCAATTGTCTTTTATTTTTTCGTTAAATTAAAAAAAAAATTATATTATCTATGTTATGACATTTTGTTTATTTTCCCGCCATTTGCATTTAATTAGCTTTATCTATTATTTTTAAACAATATTTACCTCGGTCAGTGTAAAATTGTTTTTTCCATTCAGTAAATATTTAGATATCTGACCTGTATTGAATGATTTTATAAACAATGAGTTACTTTTAAAAACAAAGAGTTTATACTTACAAGGTTAAAAAATATTGCGAAATTAAAATGTTATTAAAATTCATAACTTCAGCAAAAGCATTTGCCGAATAGTGGAACTTTTTCGTTTAAAAACTTTTGCTTGTTAAATTGTCAAGCTTCATTCCCATTAGCGTGTTTACTAACGAAATGTGTGCATTTAAGAGATAAGTCACTAATTATGACAGCCTCTTTAAATAATTATAAATATTTATTCTAGTTTTACTTTACTTATCTCTAACAAAGAATATGTCTCCACAAACATGCCACAGTTTGATAAATATAAAGAAACCAGAAGAATCCCTTACCTTAAACATTGATAGGTTATTTATTTTTACGCCAAATTGGACTAAAAGTTATAGACTTTAATTTCATCTGTGGCGCAGTGGTTAAGCACTAGTTTTATTATCTACATGTCCTGTTTCGATCCGCGCTATGAATCAATGTGTTTTTTGAATTGCATATCATAAACTTGCCTGTTAATGTTACGTGAGATTTAATTCTATCTAAATTATTACTTTGATTACACACCGCCGCTATAAAACGCTACCATCAGCTCCAAAATGGCAAAAATCAAATAGGCACAAAATGTGACATCATATAGCCAGTCTGTTTATATTATATTTTATAGTTCAGTGCTTGAGTCTCTCGGCAGGAATTGGTATAAGATGACAAATACAGCGTTTGGAGAACCTGAGTCTGAGACGTGCTATAGTAACAACGCCTCGCATTGCCGCACTCGCCACAATCATTATCAATGGAAAAAATAAATTACATATCTCTAAGTTAAGATAAACATTATCAAATATATCTATTGTAATAGATAAATCTGTTTAACTGCGTATTTGGAAATTTCTTATGGTGAAATAGATAGCAAGATATTTGAATATAAATAAAATGAAGACTCAAAAACAATGGCGAACAGATCAAAATAAAAAAAAATAAATAATATCTACACACTCCTCTGCGTCATAGCGCGAATTTTTAAAATACTTTATTAAAAAAATATAATACATGATGGAAGGAAATTAAACTAAAATTCGAGCAAAAAAGATCTGCACTGCTATAGCTAGTGGCCACCTATTTGGCCTCCTTGTTACAACTATCACCAGTAAAATGACATTAAAAAAATGTTATCTGTGCTATCGTACTATCATTTGATCTGTATTAAACTTATACAAAACGCCTATTACTGCATTAAATTAAGATAAGATTAAGTTTTTTCGCGACGAAGAAAATTGTATTTGAATATTTTAAAATAAATTTACAACAAATAACCTTTTAGTAATCGGTATGGCACTTTACAAACACAGATGTTAATTTTTCTTTTTAAATAACAGAGTACCTAAGTTAATGCTTGTTTGCTTCATTGTAATACAAGCTGTCGCTCGCGAGTCCGTCCGTGCGGAATTTAAAAAACTTAATAAGTAATGTGTTCTTCCAGACAATGTTCTACCAAGCCATTTCATCGTGATCCGTTAAGCCATTCCGGAGATACCTTCAAACATTCACATTTATAATATTAGTATGAAGTAAGATGCAAACACGTGTTCTTAATTTTATCAAAGAGCAATAAATAATTTATTTGTTTTCTCTAAAGAACTCTGTTTACTGTCTTCTTCTTCTTTCTTCTTGAGGGGTCATTCCGACTAACGAAGGTTGGCGATCAGTTACGTTGTTTATTGTCAGTACATATGAATTGCATTTAGATTTAGAACGTGGAAAAAGCCCGTAACTAGATATAAATACTTATTGCCTTGGCCATCACAGTGATGGAAAAAGAGACATAAATAAACCGTTTCAAATAGACAACGGCTTCTCTAACATTATATATTAAAAGTTATGCTACAAACATTTTTTTAGAAAACAAATGTTTACAAAACTTGGTTAATATTGTTAAACAATTTTATAACTGCATTCTTTAAAATATCCGTTTTCCAAACACCGAGACAGGGATGACATATTTTTGATATGCGTATGTCTCCGATTAGCTGTCATAAAATGCTACAAAAAGGCGGGATTTCGACTACCTACTGCTTGTTATTGAACATTGGTAATCAAGTAGCATAAACAAATTATTATAATTTTGAGGAGACGGCGGCATGCGTTTATCTAAATAATATGTTGATAAGCGTGACTTATGTAATGTTATTTAATCTTCGCGCGACAAGTGCAAAGTCGAGGTCACCGCGGCCGCGGTCAAGCTAGCAAACATCTTGCCTGATTATTTTAGTATAGCAACACAACGGAGACTCTAGGGTTATGATTGTGGAAGGAGGAGGACCTTAACCTTCTTGAAGTCATGTAGAAGCTTAATACTAAAGGTCCACGACAAACTAAAAACACAGGACGTTTGACATAAATACTTTTTATACGAGGGAAATGCAAAGGTTCGCCTAAGCCCATGGATATGAACACGGTGATATGCATATATGACGCAATAAAAAATTACTGAAATATTGTTAACTTCACAATTAAATATTCAATTAAAAAATGTGGAACAGATAAATGTTAAAAAGTATATTAATTAATTGTATCAAAAATAATTGAGTCCAAATATAATTGACATTTTAATTAGTGAAGGGGCAGAATGGCTTTTTTGTGCTCTACAATAATTTTTAAATCTAATTTAATTAAAATATTTATGCCATTTAATTATATTATAAAAATTAGGGATAAACAGGTTTACGACACTAATCGTGGTGCATTCAATATTGTCAATCTACGCCAAAACATACAAAATCATATTGTGTCGTTGTTGAAAACAACAGAGACGAATATATATTTTTTATATATGTATATACGGGTGTTTCGGCAGTGGAATCTCACAGTAACAAGATACAATAAACATGCTTGGACCTATTTGCTTCTATCTGATAGCACAAATATATTTAATAATGTTTTCTTACCATTTTTTATTTTTACACAGAGTTGCAATATATAGAGACTGGTATATCATCAGAAAACCTAGATTTTAATTTATAATAAGAACAGGCTTCAGGTCCGTATAAGTGCAGGATCACGCAAAATTTAAATCCATAATCTTAGCCTACCTTTCTTTGTTTCATGTGTAATGTAATTAGTTGTTTTATTAGATACCAAAAGACCGTCATAAAGACCGTAGGAAATATTAATAATTCGAACAAAGCGTCGAAAACTACGTATAGTTGGCATCGACCAAAAATAAACGCTGGTGTAGTGAGGGGGCCCGGCTGAATATTTGTAAAATTATACGATTACGTGCGTTGCCGTGCCTCCTCTCATTGATAATCAACCTACGTATTACTTTATCAATATAAATTGGTGTCGGTATTCAAGCATATATTCAACTCCATTCGCCACTCAGTAGCAAAAAGGTCATTCAGTAGTGAATTGGCAGTCCGAGTCCGCGCACGCGCCAAAATGTCACAAGATAACCTCACCGCCGTCTTATACAAGACTAAAGATTTAAGATTGGTATGTTTTTGTATTTGTTTCATTATTCCATAATTATTATTTATTTTATTTTAAATAATATCAACTGTAAGCTATAACCGTTATATAAAACGTAGTAGCATGTTTAGTAAATATTATTTTTAACGTTAATCCCAGTTAATCCATTAATCTCGAGCATATTTACAATGAATTAATAAATGTTAGTCTATTGATTTAAAGATAAATATTTAATTATTAACAGTAGTGGTTATTAATAACAACAATATTATTTTTTAAATAGTAAAAAAATCTTTTGTTGCCTCCCTTACTTACGTATTATTTACGTGTACATGGCCTACTTGATATAAAGTTTAGGCGTTTTTATCCTTTTTCCTGTTTATCAGAGTTTATATCTCCGAATTGTATTATATGATTTTAAATATCTTTGGAGTTATTCCATATTTTTTGTAGTAGAAGGTAGTTTATTTTTAATCGATTTTCGCCTTAAAAACTTATCATTCAATTTATACGAGCGGCGAATTTAATTATTCCGTAATTTATATATTTCGTGGGAATAAAACTGTCCAACAAATAATAATACCAGGCGTACATTATACCAGTATCTCCACAACCGTACAATATCGTTCAAAATCAGCGCTGGTATAAAACTCGCAAAATGTAAACCGGACATAAATCTAAGGGCGGGTTTCCACTGTCGTCAAAATTGTATTCGGAATATTGACATTCGTCACGTTCACTTTGAAAAAGTAGATATAATAATTACGTAAATTTACAAGTATCACGGCAGTTAAATGTCGCGGTTAGTACAAGTTGTCAACGCCGGAATGAAGGTTAAATGAAAATTAATTAATTTGTTATTCTCCATTACAAAAACACATTTACAAATTAATTATGTTACCAATTTAATTGTATTTGTAATAAGAGGTAGTTAAAAACATTTTTTACAGATAGATCGGTAGCTAATCCTAATATTTTATGCATCTGCATAATAAAATGAATTCCAGCTTGATACTTTCACGCGCTTTTGAGAAAAAAAGTCTTGACAGACAGACGGACGGACAATAAAGTGATCCTATATAGGTTCCGTTTTTTCCTATGAGGTACGGAACCCTATAAAACTTTATTTTGATATGTATTTAGAGGTTTATGTATTTATATGGTAATCATATTGCAGTTATATTTCTTAGCAAATAAAACTAATTAGATAAGTTAAATCTTATCTAATGGTAATAAAACGACCTCTTGGCTCACGTATAGTTTGATAAAATATGGAAAATATTCATGTATACGTATTTATTATACATTGTTAAAGTACTGACATAATTTTTTTTTTTAATTTTCAAACATAAAAGTGATATGCGACAAAATGCTTGGTATTAAACCTATTGAAGGCCAGAATGGTGTTTGAATTGGGTAAAATATAAGCTAAAAAAAATTGAAAATTAGAATAAGTACAAATAATGTAGATATTATTAATTAGAAAGCTTATGAGGTATGATCCCATTGATAAAGTCCAACAAAAAAAAAGTTTTGAAAAAAAAATATTATTATAAATATTTCTTTCAAAGCGATGACATAATTTCGTATTAGTTCGGCAGCTGCAATTTAATATCATTTTTGTTTTTTTTCCAGGAACAAACTCCGATACCAGAAATCGACGACGATGGTAAGGATCTTAAATATTTTAACCAACAGAATCATACAATTACGCTACGCTTCATACGCTTATACCAAACCAATGAGGTTTATTTAGCGTTAAACATATGTTTATTTGTATTCAAAATTGTATTGTTAAATGAATAAAAAAAAATAACTTTTCAGCCACACAATTTAACAAAACGATCGATTGATTAAAAAAAAATAACTTAAAATATATACTCGTATTATTAGTCAATAACCAGCATCTTTATTTAAATAATCATCGAAAACGATAAGTTTTCTGTCAACTAAAATAAGAACTCACTGGTGTATTGTTTTTCTTTTGTTTCAATTTCACGCTAAAGTTTGCCCGCGACTCCGTCTTTGCGGAATAAAAAATTCACTTAGCAGCCTATTTGTTCTTCCGGACTAAGATCATCTATGCCAAATTTCATCGAGATCCACGCAGCGGTTCTGGAGATACCTTCTAACAAACATCCATCCATACCATCTTAACATTTGCATTTATAATATTAGTAAGATTAGATATATAATTTTCAGAGGTACTACTTCGCATGGACTGCGTGGGAATCTGCGGCTCGGACGTGCACTACTGGCAGACTGGAGCATGCGGGGCGTTCGTCATGCACGAACCCATGATCATGGGACATGAAGCTTCCGGAGTTGTCGCAAAGGTTTGTGTAATACTAAAACTAAACGCGTTAGTTTTGAGACACTTATGCCTTACGGGATAGACAAAGACTTAACGAATATATTAATCTCGTCATGTGGCTAATGGAGTTAAATCACTTAATTTAATTTTATTAAGAGCAATGCTATATTACAGTTCTTACTACTGTTAGGAAGAAAATCCGACAATGTGCCGGTGTACTGGCGCAACACAAGCCTTACTGAAATATCAACGCTTATGTCCCCTCACTAATCATTCTGACACTTGACTTTGTAACGAAAGCGCGCCATTTGCACCAAAGTATTCTAACTGATAATGTCTAAAACTACTAATGTACAGGGTGTATCTAAGATAGATTAACAAGCCCGAGACCATTTAGAGATACCCTTTCATCATCAGCTCACTAAACGTCCCCACCGAGGGGCTCGGAGCCTACACTAAGTTAAGGGTGATTTACCCTTTACTCAATAGTAAATACTTTATAAAATGTCGTTCTTCATCAGGACTAATAGAGCGCAATATATTCAATGTCATTCGCGCATATAACTTTATTGTACGACAGTAGGTACTGTTTTGTATACTGGTGTCGCTATGAATAAATATTATTGTAAAATGACTTTGCTTAAAATGAGCGGACGGAAGAAATAAGTTAAAACTTTGTACTTGCGAGTAAAAAGTGGTCCGTGAAGTCGGTTGTCGTGAGTTTTGTATTGGCTGTTAAAAGGTTTAATAAAGAATGTGTCGAGAAGATAAATTATATTGTCAAAATTGGAATGTTAGGTTGAAATATCCTAGCAGATCTTTAATTTACCACAGATGTGAAATATTATTGGAACAATGTTGTACATTACAATAAACACGAAAACGAGTTTAGATTTGTTAATAAAAAATTGTATTAGAACTGACATTTTTATAAGACAATTGCCTTGAACTTAAGATGCTAATAGTTATGTCATTATAAAGCCGGTTTAGATAGTAAAAATTTGGAGGTGTGTCTCGTACGAATAGGTCTAATGACACACCGGTTTTTAGTAAACTAGAATACATGTCAGGTTTGTATTTGGCTGATTTGAATATTTCGAGACATTCAGCCGCACCACGAATAACGCGACTCATTGTAGTTTGTTTGTGCTAATAGTAATAGCTAACGCTACGTACTTCAAATGCTAAAATAAGGTGTTATCCAAACTTTAAGACAGCTTGCTAATTCGTAAGAGATGCTTTGACGTAAAGGTGGGCTCTTCTGGAACTCTCGTCATCGAAATGTGCTGGAAGCTAACCATTAGCCGTCATGGAATTGGAATATTGTCTGTCACACGATGTGTTCGAGCCCTTATATCATGTTCCTCGCTGTATAAGTTCTTCACCACACAATATAATAACACACAGACTATTTTTATACGTTCACGTGTCGTCGATCCCTCACGTGCCGTAAAAAGACTTATTAGAGACTACTGTCACCATTAGCTATTTTTTTATCGGACCAGTCTGACTACAAACAATACAATTTTTGACTTTTGGAACAATAAAAGATAGTAAACTTTAGTCTGAAATTTGAAAAACGTATAATTTGATCCATGTACAATATACTGTTAAGGTTGAATAAATATGGTTATCCTAGTCCATACAATATCACACGTACATGTCATTGATCCGTCGGTCAACGAGTATATGAACTGAAGTTTTTTGAACTGAAGGAATTTGATTGATCACTCTTAAATATACAAACATCTCAAAAGATTACGAACTTGACAGATGGGAATATGTGTTATACAAGTATGAAATAGAAACGTTTCCATGTGCTAATATTCTTCCAGATTGGTTCTAAAGTGAAGAACCTAGCGGTAGGTGACCGTGTGGCGATCGAGCCGGGTGTGCCGTGCCGCTACTGCGAGTTCTGTAAGACGGGCCGCTACCATCTCTGCCCCGACATGCGCTTCTGCGCCACTCCGCCCATACATGGCAACCTCGCCAGATACTACAAGCACGCCGCTGACTTCTGTTACAAGTGAGATGTGTTACAATCGTTTAAAATTATCATTACCCAATACACAAATTGTCTTTGCAACAACAAATAAACATTTGACCTTATTCTGATCTGATCCTATTGTGTTTGTTAAGTAATAAACCAAAAAATTTACTCGACAGAGTCAATGGAATCTTCACCTCTGTCGGGTTATAAACGACGTTCAAGAGGACCAATTAAAATAAATAAGATTTTTATTCTATTTGTGAACAGATTGCCACCGCACGTAACAATGGAAGAGGGTGCGCTACTGGAACCACTGTCAGTGGGTATTCACGCGTGTCGGCGCGGCGGCGTGCAGGCGGGGCAGAGCGTGCTGGTGCTGGGCGCCGGACCCATCGGACTGGTCACCATGTTGGCCGCGCGCGCTATGGGCGCCAGCAAGATTCTTATCACTGGTTAGTTGCACTCGGGACCCACGACCTCAAGGTTATTGCTACCGAACTGATTTTTACTCACAGATACGACAGAGATACAGAATTAATATTATTGGGAATGGTTTACCTTTTGCGGTTGCAATTTAAAGGAAGCACGACATTTACAACACGACTGATCAAAGTTGAGCTATAAGAAATTAAAGTTTTGACCCCCATATTTATTTCATAAATCCAATGTTACTCGTCTATCCAGACATCCTGCAGTCGCGTCTGGACTTCGCGAAGCAGCTGGGTGCTGACCACACGATCCTGGTGACGAAGGAGGCGAGCGAGGATCAGCTGGTGCAGGAGGTGCGGCGTCTGCTGGGAGACAGCCCCGAGGTGTCCATAGACGCGAGCGGCGCGCAGGCCACCGTGCGCCTCGCACTGCTGGTCAGTCATACTTACCATACAATGTGCTACAACGTCTTATATTTAACATCAAGGTCAATCGAAGGACAGTATATTTTTAACTTGTAACACCCACGACCTGTGTGTGTCAGGCGACGAAGTCAGGCGGCGTGGCGGTGCTGGTGGGCATGGGCAGCCCCGAGCTGACAGTGCCGCTCGCCGGCTCCGTGGCCAGAGAGGTCGACATCCGCGGCATCTTCCGATACGTCAACGAGTACGTGATAAATATCTCTTTGTATACTTCCTGCATTCATCATCAGCTCACTATACGTCCCCACTGAGGAGATCGCAGCCTATCCTAGGAGTGATGAGGTCATCAACCACGTTGGCCCACTGCGGGTTGACTTCACACATATCTTTGAATTTGTGTGATGTTTTCCTTCACCGTAAGAACGTCGGATAAATGTACATATGTAAATCGGAAAACATATTGGTACATGGCGGGATTCGTACCCTGGATATGCAGGTCAAGTGCTTAACCCCTGAGCCACCGACGCTGGTCAATTATTATTCCTATAACATTTTTGAAACACACCATCAAAAATAGTGTTAGACCTTTCTCTGAACACGTTTTACATTTCTCAGTACTTCAGTTATCGTTTAATGTTTTATTCAAATAATAATAATAATATTCCATATTGCAGATACCCCATAGCACTTTCCATGGTGGCTAGCGGACAAATCAACGTGAAACCACTAGTCTCACATCACTACAGCTTGGAAGAGACCCTGGAGGCGTACGAGGTGGCCCGCAAGGGTCTGGGCATCAAGGTCATGATCCACGTTCAGCCCCGCGACGCCAACAACCCGCAGTCATAACAAATAACTATCGTTAAATAGCGCTTTATAATAACGCTATTACTTTTAGCTGCATGACACGTGACATGGCGGCCATTTTGAAATCTTGCAGACATTCTGACATATAAAACAATTGACATTTCCAAATTGTAAAATCATTTTTTTTAATGATAATAAGATAAATTTCTATTTATCTTTAGCGTCTAACACATTTTAGAGAAAAGTACAAAATCATATTGACTAGAAAATTACCGAATTTTCTTTAATTAATTGACTAATTGTTTTAGTAATATTAAGCCTTTGCCGTTTAAAAACTATTGCAAAAATAATGGTGAATGGAAATATAAAATGTACAATTTATATCAAACAGTTTATTGGTAGGATATTTAAATTATATTATTTAAATTAAGTTATTGAATCATCGAATTTATCTTCTTTTTTTAATGTCTGTGAAAGTGTTGCCATATTCCTAAGACAAAAAAAGAACAAAGAGCAACGATTTTTCATTGTTTTTACAATAAGTAAAAATAATATTCAATACAGAAAATTAAAGAAATATAAAGTGGTTTTTTTATATTTTCTTTAAATTTACCTAAGACATGAAACTATTTCTATTCAAAATCAATTTATATTGACGAAATACTAACAAGTATTTATTATTTATACAGAAAAAACAAAAAATGTGATTTATATTTTATAAATAAATGCAACAGTTTCTAGTCATTAGGAATACAAATTTTCACAGACTTTTTTTTATGACGAATTGTTAAAAAATATTTATACAATATGAAATATATTATTTTTGCACAATTAAACGTTCCTTTACACAACAATTTGTTTTATTTCCTCTGTTTGTCTATTATAATTAAAAATAATCGCATATTTTACCTACCAACTTGACTTATGTTATCTGGTCAAAAACATGACAAAGTTACTATTGTTTAATTCAGTTATCATTAAAATATACACAGTAAAGTAATTACAGCATTGCAGGAGCACCGATGGCGCAGTTATTATGGGACCGGACTACATACAGGACAGGGTTCAAACAGCGTTCTTCAATGTATTTTTCGATGTTAATTGGTAAACTATTCGTCGCCAGCGACTCCATCCACGACGAATTAAAAAAAATTAAATAAGTAGTCTATGTGTTCTTCCAGACTATGTTCTATAACTAAGTCAAATTTTATCTAGATCTGTTTAGCTTTTCTGGAGAAACATTCCAAGAAACATCCATCTATTCATCTAAACATTCGCATTTATAATATTAGTAATAGTAAGATTTAATAAATTTCTTACTGTAAAGGTCGTCATGGAGCCTTTACATATCAGTGAAGAAATTCAGAGATTTGCCAGGTTAACCAACCCGCACAGGGCGAGCGTGGCTGACTATGTAGTCAACCCCAACTTGGGGTAAGCTCCGAAACCTTGAGATGGGACATATATGACCTGACGACAAATTACTAAATTTATCTTCTCTTAATTAATCATAAAATGTTTTAATTATAATTAGCGTTCGTATTCCACTTGCAATTAAAAACTAGTCGGTGCCGCCACCGGACGTATATACGTGAGTGTTTAGCCGTGTTTATATATCAGTTTAATATAATGTCTCACGAAAGTTTGAATAATTTAATTAAAAACTGGATAATATTTTTACCTAATTAAGATAATCCAGGTGTAAATATGTATTTCGACATAAGTATACACACGAGAGCAAATAAAACGACTCAAGTGGTATGCACGACATTAAATATCGTAAAAAATTACTGAATTATCGACTTCTCCCGTCAAAATCTCATCAGTTGTTTACGCTCTAAACCGTCACAATGGAACTTAAATAAATACACACCCACGTCCATTAAATAAAATACATAAAACGTAATTCTCGTATGTCAATATAATAAACACTAATGCAAGAAAAACGCTTTCATCTTAATACATTATGTTTCAGGAAAATAGAGCAATTTTCATATGTTGCTACAGAAAAAAAATAATTTTGAAAATTGCTGCCAGTATCTTCGGGACCTTGCCTAAAGGGACTCCTTTTATTAACATATTTTAGTTAATTATTCGGTTTTTTTTTTTAATTTTATTTTATATCATAGATTTAAGACTTTATGTATTCATAAATAAACTATATTTTGAAAATCGAACAACTAGGAGCGGAGCTACGAAGTGACATATACATTTAACTTTTTTGAAATAGGTTAAAATTTCGTCTCCAAGCGTTTTTTCTTGTCACGTATTAGTAAGGATAGGTGAGAATGTCCTTTTATCGAAGTTATTGAGTTACCTAATAAAGCTATTCGAAACAGTTGAAAAATGGTGTAATTCCGTATTTTGGGAAAGATAAAATTTATTTACGTTATTTAAAAACGAAGATATAAATTATCTTTATAGTCGAATACAACATTCAAACTTAAGTTTGTCACATTTTTTGCGCTCGAGTGTATCCCTCAATTAAGATAAACACACTGCAATTAAGCATTTAAGGCATGTTTCTTTTAAATATCAAATAATATCTTCGGATCATGGTAATTAAACATTTTTGGAATGTTATTGTGTATGAATTGCTTAAATTCAAGCCAACCGAAGTCAGGTACTCTTAGTTAGTGTTACATTAAAATTCCGCAGTTGATTGACGTATAATAAACAATGATTTGAATTTATTCTGAACATTATCTCGTTTCATTTTATTATTTAACCCATAACAATACACTAAACATCTCATTTAACTACAGATTCAAGATAAGTACACAAGAGTTTCTAAATTATATGAAAATGACCAACTACGCCGCTGTATTATACGGACCCAAAGATTTAAGAATTGTAAGTAGTGTATAATGTTTACTTTAAAGTCAAGAAATGTTTGGTACTATACTATTATTTGTATATTTTGAAATGTTTATAAATAAGTGCGTAAAACGTACCTCAATGGTCTCGCGGGTCACTGCTTATTTAAATTACATAAATCACAACGCACTTGCATATATACATTAATATAGATGGAGTATTTTTTAATGAGTTTATTTATTTCAGGAAAATTTGCCGGTTCCAGAAATCAATGATAATGGTAAAAATTTACTTTATAAACTTCGTAGCTGTTTTCAAGAGATCAAACCATAAATGGAAAAGTATTTTATTATTTTCATAAAAACAATTTTTTATGAAAATAATAAAGGGTTAATTAATAATTAAATTGTGAAACAATTTGCATAACAAGGAAATTGGGAATAAGCTGATTAACGGTAGTGCACACTGTCTGACAGGACGTAGGAAGTACTAGGAGATAATGATGTTGCAGAGGTGCAGATCAAGATATCGTGCGTGGGGATCTGCGGCACTGACGTGAAGATGTACACCACGGGGAAGTGCGGGCTGGAGGTGCCCACCGAGCCTATGGTGATCGGCCACGAAGGCGCCGGTATTGTAACTAAGGTTTGTAATTATTACACATGTAGATTCACACAAACCTTCGCAATTTGTTAAATATTTCTTTTTTAGGTTGGTGCTAAAGTGAAGCATCTGAAGGTGGGTGACCGCGTGGCTATCGAGCCGACGGCGCCGTGCAAAAGCTGCGAATTCTGCGTTTCGGGCCGCTACAACTTGTGCGACGAACCCGCGTATTGCTCCACGCCCGCCGCGCCTGGCAACCTATCGCAGTACTACAAGCACGTCGCAGACTTCTGCCACAAGTAATACTGATATGATATGATGTCCTAATATCATTACTCTATAGTAAAGCATAGCATAAATACAAATTCATTTCAGTTTTTAGACGGTTAATTAGAGGGGGTGGTAATGCTTGGAAAGTGTTATTATAGAAGAGGCAACATAACCTCGCACGTCTTTCTTATATAATAGGTTACCAGATAACCTATCAATGGAAGAAGGCGCTGCTGTCCAGCCCCTAGCCATCGCGATTCACGCCTGCAACCGCGCCGGCATCAAACTGGGCACTAACATGGTGATCTTAGGCGCGGGGCCTATAGGCGTGCTCTGCGCTATCACCGCTAAAGCTATGGGCGCCGCCAAGATACTGATGACAGGTAACGTGGTGTACCAAGCGAACATAAATGTACCATGGAATATTCAAAAAATAATATGTGCTACTTTTGTAATGCGCTATCTCTGTCACACAATGCACGAACTATCTTCAGGTAACTTGGTATAAAAGACGATCACAAATTATGCACGTTGACTGTTGGAAAGAGATGTGATGATACTTTCGTAAATCGCTATCTCTATCACACCACAAGCAATATATGTGTATGCCATAGATAACGTTAGTAACTATATACAAAAGTATCGATATCTCTAATCGGAAATAATGATTAATTTAATTTCCAGATGTAGTACAATCTAGATTGGATATAGCAAAACAACTGGCTGCAGATTACACGCTCCTTATAAAGAAAGAATACTCCGACGAGGAGGTTGTGGATAAGATCAAAGCATTGCTCGGAGGCAGACCTCGGGTTACTATAGACGCGTGCGCTTTTCCTTCAGCACAACGCGTTTCTATGCTGGTGCGGTTATAAAGATTATTTTCCTATAATTTTTAACATTTAAGTAATAACTAACCGTCGCCCGCGACTTCGTTAGTGCGGAATTTAAAAAAACAATAAAAAGCGTATCCATCCATTCATACATACAAACATTCGAATTCTAAATATTATTAAGATAGTATGATTAGTCAATTTAAATATCTAGGTCGCCCAAGGTCATTGTCGCGCAGCGCAGTGCCTTCCCCCCCCCCC